ATGGAATTCAAGCGTCATAGTGTGATTTCTTTATATATGACTGGAAAACCACAAGTAGCTTTCGCTAGAGTACTCTAGCATTTAAATGTGAATACATTTTTTGTGTGAAAAAATCTTTTGTCGCTCGTTACCGTGATACTGTTGGTGTAGCCCGACGTCAAGGAAGTGGACGGAAGAAAACAGCAGCATCAGCAGAAATGGTTCGAAAAGTAAAGAAGCGACTTGACCGAAAATGTGCACCTTCGGTTGGCCACCAGAACTCAAGCGCCGGCCATGGTGATGGTGAACGCCGCCATAAGAGCCGATGGTCGCTCTCCGCTCGTATTAATCGACCGTGCCATCAAAATAACTGCCGAATATTATCGCGAAAATATACTGGAGGGTGTACGCAAACATTTTGGCCCCAGACCTTGGACATTCCAACAGGACTCAGCACCATCGCACTCAGCACACGCCATCCAAGAATGGTTACAAAATGAGGTTCCTCGCTTCATTTCCCGCGCACAATGGCCACCAAAATCTCCGGATGCCAATCCGTTGGACTATTGCATCTAGAGTAATTTGGCAAGCAAGGTTGGCACTAAAAAATACCAAAGTGTCGATCACATCAAGCAAGCGCTTCGCTGGGAATAGGCCAAAATGCCGCCAAGCAGCATTCGGGCACCGTGTGGCTGCTGGAACGAACCAACAATTTTCAAAGCTTTGTTTGAAAATTTAAACAAATCGTTAATTTTGAGTACTAAAGTGAACTGGTGGAACAAATCTAAAATATAAAGGTTGTCTTTTCGCTGATGAAGTAGTGGGCACTCGCTAGTTACATACAAAATACCATTCATATCACTAATTAATTTTTTAACCTGTACATCTTTACTACTACCTCTATAATGTACAAATGTTTTGTTCTTCGATTTGTCTTTCTCTGAATCCAAGTTAACGATAAAGATTATTCTTTTTAAACACAAAATTTTCGTTATTTTCTTGTGTTGCTTTTTTGTGTTGCTTTCCAGGGAATATCTGCATTCAACTGTGCGAAACAGATTTTTTGCGACACACACTCAAGTCAAGACTGCCATTTCAAAAAACAATAAATGCCATGGAATGAAAAATATTGTGATTCCGCAAAAATCGATAAATATGCATAGTTTCGTTTGAAACTGGGTATAACAGATGTTGTATGGTCGTATTTCCTTTTGCACTTCGTTGCCCAGAAAAAACGTCGTTGTAAATTGAAGAATGGCATTTATTAAATACATATTACATGTGAAGGGGGCGAAACTGCGCCATTGGAAAAGATACAACCTGTAAAGGTTTCAATTTAATCAATGCTGTATGAAGCGTACTAATTGTAAATTGCAAAATAACAAAGAGGTTGCATATCAATCATAAGTAAGAAGTCTTTATGGATATATAATTGAGTGGTGCTACTTTTTATACCCTCCACCATACATAGTATGGAGGGCATATTAAGTTCGTCATTTCGTTTGTAACTCATCGAAATAATCATTTTAGACCCAACAAGGTATGTGTATTCTTGATCAGCGTAAAATTCTAAGACGATTTAGCCCTGTCCGTCCGTCTGTTGTAATCACGCTACAGTCAAAACGTATTGAGATAGGAAGCTAAAATTTTCCACAGATGTCTCTCTTGTCTGCAGGCAGGTCAAGTTCGAAGATGGGCTATATCGGTCTACGATATCGTATAGCCCCCATAAAACGGTACACCCCGGTATTCGGTATTTTGATGATTTTGAACACATTTTTCAACTGAAATGTCTGAAAATCCACACAAGGAGTTGCTTGTTAGTACTTTATCCCTTGGAAGAGAATTTTCTACATAGGTTCACGATATCGTATAGCCCCCATATAATGGTACCCCCCGATATTCCGTATATTCATGATCTTAGCCACATTTTTCAACGGAATTGTTTGAACTCCTTCACTGTGAGATATTTATCTATATAGGTCTACGACATCGTATAGCCCCCATATAACGGCACTATTTGATATTAGTTATTTTAAAGCTTTTAACAGAATTTTTAATGGATTTTATTTTTATTTTTATTTTATAATTTTTTTTTTTTTTTTTTTTGAAAATTTCCTAATTCATTCCAAATGGTGGTCTTTTACTTGTTCAATTTGGGTAGGTTAGGTTGAAAAGAAGGGCCAAATTATTTGCCGCAATTCCTCGTGGACATACACATCAACAAGAATAGTCCTATTGTACCCTTTTAAACTGTTTGACATATTTTTAGTTTAGTAAATATGTATTTCTACCAAAGTCCGTTTACTTATAAATTTCGTTCACCCTTATGTAAATAAGAACCGGAATAGTATCATTTCCCAAATGCTGAATTCATATATTATCAAAAGCTAAAAATTAAAGATAAAGTGTTCCTATTTTGTGCAGATGTGCTTATAGACTAAGAAAACCTCTCTAAACGTATGACAATCTATTAATCTGCTTTATTAAAATCTCCTCCTTGTAAAGGAGGGTATACTCAAAATATTCATCGTAGACCCCATTAAGTTTACGTATTCATGATCTGTCTGCTAAAATCACGAAACAGCCCACATTATTTGACGTAGAACTTAAAAATTTGGCACAGCAATTTGTATTGTGTCTAGGATGGTTGGTATCGAAAATGTGATATATCTGCCCCCATATAACTATATCTCTCGATGTTCGGTAGCTCCGGTGGCGGAAATTTGACAATTTCCAAAAAAATAAAATCAGTTAAAAATTCGTTTAAAATATTAAAAATACCGAATGCATATACGACGACGTGGACCTGCATAGGCGACTTTTATCATAAGTTATCACAATATTTAAATGCGAAACTTGAAGAAAAATCTGTTTGTAATGTAGCTTAAATCGTAATGTAGCAAAATACCGAATATAGGGGGTACCGTTATATGGGGGCTATACGAAGACGTGAACCTGCAAAGACAATTTTCTGGCATGGGCTGAAGTATCCATTACGAACTTCACATGCGAAATTTGAAACAATCCCGGTAAATAATGTCGCTAAAATCATCAAAATACCGAATATCGGGGGGTACGGTATATGGGGGCTATATGAAAACGTGGACCTACATGGCTCATTTTCTGACTTAGGGTGTAGTATCCATTACGAACCTCAAATGCCAAATTTCAAACAATTCCGGTAAATAATGTCGCTAAAATCATCAAAATACCGAATATCAGGAGGTACCGTTATATGGGGGCTATATGATAACTTGGACCTACATGGCCCATTTACGAACTTAACCTGCCTACTGGCAAAATAAACATGTCTGCAAAAATTTAGCCTTCTATCTCAATTTGTTCGAAAGATAGCGTGATTACAACAGACAGACGGACAGACAGACAGACACACAGACAGACAGACGGACATGGCTAGAATCGTCTTAGAATTTTACGCTGATCAAGAATATATATACTTTGTTGGGTCTGACATGAGTATTTCGAGGTGTTACAAATGGAATGACAAAATTAATATACCCTCCAAAGTATGGTGGAGGGTATAAAAAGGTATTTGTAGTTCGTAATGGGTCGGCAGAACATTGAATATCTAGGTCCACGTTTTCTTATAGCTCACATATAACGATACCTTCGGTTGCTCGGTATTTTGACGTTTAAAGCCAAATGGTCGATTACCTTCTGGCGTTCTTTGACCCATAGTAGACCTTCTTTATTCTAAAGGACACATTGAGATCTCTGGTCTATGGTCTATAGAAGGCCTAAAGATAGTATATAAAAGAACTTGAGGTATTATACGGTCTACAGAAGTTTTTGATGTCTCTTTGGAAGGCCTTGCGATAGTCTATGGGATAAAGGATTTGAATAAAGTATTTAGACCTGCCTTTTGTTTTTGAAGTTTTTAATTTTTTGCTTTTCCGAATTCAATTTGCGAAAAAAAAAAATTATTACGGAACAATGTGTTTTGGTCCCTGTGGACCATAACCGGTCATAACATAACCGTGCTCGCTTTGAATCTATGGAAATGTTTCGAACCCGTGAAGTCTAATGACGATAAGTAAACCCATATTACCTCATACCACAAAATTGACAAACCTGATCGCAGCAACCCTCGTGTAATGCATTTTGGCACCGAACAAAATTTGGTCTGAATTAATATTATTTTCTTTTACTATTATTGTCACTTGTAAGTTAACGTCGTAAGAGCTATGGGTTTTGCATACAAATTAACCCAAACTCAATATCCGTTTGCGGGACTATTCGTAAGCATGCCACTCGCTTGCAGGTGTGTGTGTGTGTGTGTGTGCGCATGCATTTTTCTACAAACAACCTCAACTTTGTGAAAAAGGCCAAAAATATCCAAAATAGAAAAACAATTATATTTTTTGGACATTTAAGGGAGATTGAACGCGTGCTCGGTCGGCAATAGTTATGTCGGCCAACTTTATTACAGCTCAAAGGGGAACAAAAAAACAGTTGTGCGTGTGTATGTCGCAACTGCATTCAGTGTGGGGGGATAGAGTTGGGACACTTTGGCTTTGGGACGTAACCAGAAAAATAATAATAATAATATTGGCGAACACGGCTCGAAATTATACGACAACAATTTGTTGACATGTGGCGGAGGGAGCTACTGTTTTCGGCATTGGCGATTCCGACAAACTATTTGATGGTATAGAAAGCCAAGCACTCGGCCAGCCAGTGTCCAACACATTACCAAAAAATCAATCAAAATCACAGAAAAAAGACATTTTTAATATTTGGTAGTAAATAAAGAAATATTTACAAGCAATTGCGACGTCCGACAGAGCGAGTGTTTCGCCACTGCCCAAAAAAGTCCATTGAAAATTGGAAGTGTCATCATTTCAATGGTAAGGTTTTGCGGCAGTTGTTGGCGGTGTTTGGACGTTTGGTGCCTTCACCGTTGAGGCCATGCGTTTCGGACTCTCTGCATTTGGTGGCGAGTTGTAATTTCTTTTTAATATATGTTGGGGGAGCGGCAGTATAAAATCATGGGCACCACATGAAATTTAAATCATTGTTTTCATACCGATTCCATTGTGAACACCAGTGGCACTAGAATAGTTGTAACGGAATTTATTTAATAGTAATTTGCTTAGAGGAAGAAACACAACGATGGCTTTCCGCTTCACATCCTTTTTGGCCGTTGGCTGTTTGCTTTTGGCCGCTACCACACCCCTCAATGCTGCCGCCATTGATAATGCTGTGGCTGAGCCACGCATTCACAGCTCCGAAGAGTTGATCTCGTCCATTGTGGATAACTGCTTCCATGCCAATGGCATGCATTGTTTGAAAGAGAAGGTGTTGACCTATTTGGATACCGTTGTCGGTGTTGAGGAGGATGTAAGCGGTCGCGCCCTCAATGATGATGTTATCGAAAAAGTTATCACCGATCGTGTTGCCCGCATCTTGAACACCAATGAAATCCGTGTACAATTGCCCGAAACTGTATTTGCCAATTCCGTTCTGTCCTACCGTGCTGACCGTGGTTTCGATTTGGAAGTTCCCCAAAATGAAGGTGAGTTAGCCGACAAACTACAATTGGAAATATATATTTAAATAAATTTCGAATAATTTCAGCCCGTGGTGACAAGAAGAAGGATAAAGCTTTCTTGCCCTTGTTGTTGTTGATGAAGTTGAAATTGAAGGTTGTCATGCCCATCTTGATGTCATTGATTGGACTTAAAGCTTTCAAGGCTTTGATTTTGTCTAAAATCGCCATCAAATTGGTCTTGGGTTTCATCATCTATAACATTATCCAGAAATTGGGTGGCATGAAAATGACCATGTCTCCCATGATGCCCCCACCAATGCCAGCTGCCGAATATGGTGTACCCACCACCACTGCCTCCTCTTATGATCCCAGCAGTTGGGAACCCTCCAACGGTGGTCCCTATGCCCGCTCTGATGCCCAATACATGGCCTACAGCAGCTATCATCCCAGCAGCAGCAGCTCCAGCACCGGCTCTAGCTCCTCCTCATCATCCAGCAGCAGCTACAGCAGCTCTTCTTAAATCATTGCCAACACAAAAAGGCAATTGGGAGAGAACGAAAGAGTTTTCACTTCTTTCCAACTCTCTCCTTCAAGAGATAAGAGAAGACACAGTCTTCCTGAGAAGCACCCCTTCCAAACAAAACCTCATTTTCCCATTTAAGACAAAACTGGACAAATCATAGGTAATACGCGCTCAAACCCCGGATTTTGGTACCTACTCGAGATAAACCCAAAAAATCGCTACATTTTTTGTGGTTACTGTAAATTAATTTATTTATCCTCATCTCTGCAATCTCTTCTAAGAGAGACCGCCATCAAGTCATCAGCATCCCAAGAAACTTTTCTAGTCTTCACAGTTATTTAATGCAACTATTGCTCTATTCTACTGTTCTTTCTCTTTGCTTTTCTTCCTACTCTTTCCTTACTTCTTTTCTCATGACATTCTAAGAATGTACCTTTTCTTCTTTTCTATTCGATATCTTCATTACCTACATCCAAACAAAACGACCAAATAACATAAAACAAAGTTTAAGTTAATATTTATTTAAATTATTTAAAAAATGCAATTTAAAAAAATAAAACAAAAAAATTATATAAATATTTTTGAAAAAAAAAAACAATTCTCGGAGTTAAATAACATATAAGAATGGTATGGGAGAACCATTCATTTCGGGTTCTCAGCGGCTAGTTGCGAAAATATATATTTTTCGCAAAGCCTATAGTGGTGTGGATTAAACCTTTTTATTTGGAAACTATGTGAAGTAAATAATACTAGCTAATAATAGCTAAAATAATAAATCAAAATATCGTATATAGGGAGCTGTGCGAAGATCTGAACCAGCATAGACAATTTTCTGCCATCTTCTGAGTAATGTAGCATCCATTACGAACTTCAAATTCGCGTCTCAAACAATTTCGGTGGGTATTGTACCTAAACTCGTCGAAATACCGAATATAGGGAGGTACTGGTATGTGGGGCCTATACGAAGACCTGGACCTGCGTAGACAATTTTCTGTCGCAGACTGTAGATCACATTACGAGCTCTAAATACGTAATTTGAAACAATTCCGGAGAATAATGACGCTAAAATCATCAAAATACCGAATACAGGGAGGTACCGTTATATGGTGGCTATACGAAGACGTGGACCAGCACAGACAATTTTCTGCTATAGGCTGTAGTATCTATTACGAACTTCAAATACCAAATTTTAAACAATTCCGGAGAATAATGACGCTAAAATCATCAAAATACCGAATACAGGGAGGTACCGTTATATGGGGTCTCTACGAAGACGTGGACCTTCACAGACAATTTTCTGTCATAGGCTGTAGTATCTATTACGAACTTCATATACCAAATTTTAAACAATTTCGGTTAATAATGTCGCTAATATCATTAAAATACCGAATATCGGGAGGTACCGTTATATGGGGGCTATATGAAAACGTGGGCCTACTTTCACGCTAACTTTGGAACGAATTTGATAAGAAGTTAAAAATTGCACACGCGCATATATTGTTAAAGGTCAACGTTTTCGTAAGGTCCCCAAAATAACGGTACCTTCCGATATTCGGTATTTTAACGATTTATGTTACATTTTCTAAAGGAATTTCGATATTTACAATCCGTAATTCACCTCTTGTGTCGCAACATTGTCTAAATAGATCCACGTTTTCCTATATTCGTCATATAACCGAATTCTGATGATTTTAGCCACAGTTTCTTAAGGAATTGTTTAAAATTTACTCCTAAAGAAAATTTTTGTTTTTATAGGTTCATGTGTTCCTCCCATTGATCAATATTAACAAGAGTTTTGTCAAAATATATTACTTACCCAGAAAGAAACCAGGATGGAAAATCTTTAAAAAATGTTTAGAAAAAAATATATATTGACGTTACCATATTTTTATGATTATAATTATGTTTATTATCTATATATATAAAAATCAATTGTTGTTCGTTGGAAATGGAATCAGTTGAGAACGGCTGGACCGATTTGCATAATATTTTATACAAACGTTCGTCATACCCTGAGTTAGGTTTTTAAAGAAAAACATATTGACCAAGCCTACTTTTAAGTCCTCTATTTAGATTTATCTAAAATTCTTATATTTGCCAAAATAATGAAGATATCGGTTTGAAAATTATTACACGAGATACTGTTGACTTCCCCTCCACACCTAAGCATATATTTTGGGGCTGAAGAACTAACCACGCCTACTTTTTATTCTAAATATATCTACATATATATAAGAAAGTTGTGTTAGTAACTACGCTTATAATTCAAGAACCGCTGATCTGATTTTAACGATTATGACAAATTCGGAATTGTCTCTTGAAAGAAAAGGATAAAATCCAAAAAAATCGTGTATAAATGTGAAATTTGAGCATTTTCATTTTGACTTTTGAAATGTACAATAGTACTGTTTTATTTTGCATAATTTTTTTCCATTTTGACTTACAATTTTCGAATGTATATTTGTAGTGTTCTTTTTAATTCTAGTATTATGTGTAGTCTTTTCGGAGAGTATAAAACGACAACGGACAAAACTGCTATTTATAGATATAAGCTATGAACAAAAATATTTTAATTACTTTTTTAAAATCGCTAAAATATCACGAAAAAGGCCATCTCATTGCAAAAATTCTAAAATCGGGAAAGAAAAATGAAAAATTGTTTAATGGAATCGAATTTCAAAATAATAGTACATACGACCTTTAAACATTTGCTGTAAAATATTAGCGAACCAGTTGAAGATTTTTTTTTTATTTTTTTCAATTTGCTTCTCTTTTTTTGTCAATTTTATATAATGTACGGTTTTTTTTTTTTTCAATTTAACTTAAGATATTGAATTCGACCTTTTTTTTTTTGTCTTTTTTTTGTGAAAAAAATAAAGAATTATTTTCAACATATATATAAGAAAATCATGTCAGTTACTACGCTCATAACTCAAGAACGGTTTGACGGATTTTAAGAATTCATACAATTTCGGATGGTATACAATACGATATTAAATGGCAATCTTTCATGCCTAAAATTGGCATATAGCTTTCAACTCCAGGACCTAAATCGTGCTTAAACTGGTAAATGCGAACACATTTAAACAAAAAAAAAAAATGATCGACAAAGCGTTATAGGGCTCATTTCAAAATGTGGACTTACTTCTCTCACATCAATAATCCGTCCAAAGAGAACTCAAAATGCTAAATTCATTGGAACTGCAATCACTGAAATACCGAATATAAAGCGAATTGGACATTTAGTAAGAAAAGAATTTCTTCCTAAACGTTCAAGATACCTTAGATTACTTTTACAGGTCATCAGATAAAAGTACAACCCGATTTCAAGTATAGTTAACATTTTAACCATATTAATTTCGAAACCATCATCATCAAAAAAATTAATTCCCATATTTCGGTAATGGGTGTAAAAGAGTAATTATCTTTGACTATTCTGAAATCATTCTGCCCTCAATTATGAGGTGGACAAAAATAAATACCACGCAGCACGGTATTCTAAACGTTGGAAATACAAATTCCAAATTACAGCTCATTTTAATGGAAAATATTGCTCAGCTCCTTAAAACACCGAAAATTGAGCTGAGTTTTCACATGGGGCCATTATAGACGTTATTTATCATAAAGGTGTTTAACAATCAAATTAAAGCCTTTGGCTGAAAAAAAATAAGATCAGGCTATTCAAAAGATGTAATACCGACGGTAGGTGAACATCTATAATAATTTTTGTCATGAATATTTGTTTCTATTTAGAAATTACTAAGCAGTCATTACTTTTTATTAGATGAGTCAGATCTGTGATCTATTATGCTTTAAAAAATAATCATTAAAGACTAAAAGAATGGGAGTCGCTGATGGAGTGCAGAATATATGTACCAAAGGGTTTTTGGAAATCCGATCGTTAAGGTTACGAAAAGTTCTAAAATGTCGCCAATTGTTATTATGTGAACGGATAGAAACTAGAAATTTGGTATAGGTATCACGATTGGAAAGTAAGTTTGATATTTGAAGGTGATTTTGGAAATGTGTGCTCTAATTTTATGAAAATCACAGAATGGTACGATATTTGGATATTTTGTATTGGGTGTAGAGATAAAGCTGGAATCCCGAATATGTTTGTGATTGAGAGAAGGAGCTGCTTTGGTACTTCATTTGGTAATGGGACAACTAGAGAGCTGAAAGCCTGAAATTTTATATTGAGGTATCTCTTGGTTTCGATGTTTAGACGTAATGAACAAATTGTGTATTTTGACTACTAAGAAGGCCTTAAACTGGAAACGAACCTAAAATGTTAAGGTGGACTTTTTGCTGACGAAGTAGAGGGTACTTACTAGCTATTAGTATTAATATTATTGATATTGCAGTAGAATTTTCGAATTTTAAAATAAAAAATATTTTAATTTTTGGTACATATATAAGGAATATATGTTTTATGGGTACTTGTGTACTGGAAAGAACAAGTCAAAGGGCCAAAGATAATTCTGCCGGGTTAAGTGCAGAGTATTTCCTTTCCAAATAGCAAATAGTTCAAAATTTTCTCTTTCTAATATCAAAGAAAAATATACATATATTTTTTTTCAACTTTTTTTAAGTGTTGTGTTCCTTGCGATTTTGGTCATATTGATGCGCGAAGTTTCAAGTATACTCCATATATTTAATATGAGGGTTGCAATTGTTTAATGAAAATTTTAATACTTTCTGGGCTAGGACCAGGAGAAGGAGGATTAATATGGCCCATATTTTAATACAATTTAAGTTTGATTGATAGATTGAGATACAACGATTGAGAGCTAGGATATTTACCATACAGACATATACAGGGTGAGATAAAAATAATGCAACAAAGTCAAACGCCATAATTTTTACATTTTTTTTTTAATTTTGTAGAATGAAAGCAAAAAATGCTGGAAATAGCATCAAATTTTAGAATAAGTTTAGATTTGTTCAAATTGGTCACCTTTGGCACGAACTACGGCCAATGAAACCGTCGCTTGCTTGCGCTTGCTTGAGGTAATCGAAACTTTGGTATTTTTTAGTGTCAACTTTGCTTTCCAAAATACTCCAGAAACAATAGGCCAACGGATTTGTATCCGGAGATTTTAGTGTGCGCTGTAAATAAAGCGAGGAACCTCATTTTGTAACCATTCTTAGGTTGCGCGTGCTGAGTGCGATGGTGCTGAGTCCTGTTGGAATGTCCAAGGTCTGAATGTCAAAATGTTTGCGTGCCCAAGGCTACGATAATATTTGGCATTTATTTTGATGCCGCGGTCAATTAATACGAGCCGAGAACGACCATTGGCTGTTATGACGGCCCACACCATAACCATGACCGGCGCTTGAGTTCTGGTGGCCAACCGAAGGTGCACTCTTTCAGTTGACCTCTTTGGTAAGTAAGCACGATCATTTTGTGTTTTTTTTTTTACAAACTGCTTGACAACGAATGTTTTCTCATTGAAGAAAACCAAATTCGGCAGTTCATCATTTGGCCAAGCGAAGCAACTCTTTAGCTCTTTGGAGTCTATTTTCTTTTTGTTGCGGTGTAAGTTCTTGACTTTTTGGAATTTCAATGTCTTTACCCCGAGCTCATTTGTCAATATTTGCCGAATGGGATATTGCGATATGTTCAGCTCACGAGCCACTGTGACGTTGGTTTCGATCAAGTCGCTTGTTTACTTTTAGAACCATTTCTGCTGATGTTGCTGTTTTCTTCCGTCCACTTCCTTGACGTCGGGCAACGCTACCAGTATCACGGTAACGAGCGATGGTACGAGACACAAGCGATGGTAACGATAGCCACTAATAATATCGCTTAAACCACCAAAATACCGAAAATAGGGAGGTAATATAAGGGTGGGGGCTATACCAAAACGTGGACTTACATGGCCCATTTTCAATGCCAAAAGTCCTGCAGATATAGTATATATTTGAGTAAATTTTTAACTTTATTTCGGTCGGGATGGTAGAGTGATTTCCACAGACGGACGGACATCCCTAAATCGACATAGATATGCTGATCAAGAATATATATATTTTGTGGGGTCTAAAATGTATATTTCGAGTTGTTACAAACGGAATAGCCGGGATACCGAATAAAGTTATGAACCGTTCTATGGTGGCTATACGAAAACGTGGACAGTGAATTTAACCTGCCTACGGACAAAATACACATTCAGGGAAAAATTACGTTTTTGGTCCATTCCACCCGCAAAATATTTTGAGAATATCGCCAAAAACGGACAACAACTGCGATCGCTAGATCTAGGACAGGCTAGGACAAATATTTTGCCTAGTAAAAAATTAAATTAATAAAATGCATCGTAATTTCTTCATAAGTTTAGGTAAGTGTTATTATTTTTTTTTTTTTTAATATAATTATATTCCCACCAATAATATATGTCCCCACCAAGAAAAGGCATTAACAAGAAACCTTGAACCCCTTTTTTCTTCCTCAATGCCAAATCGGGCGTCGCGTGTCATAAAATTGAGGATGACCAAAAAAAAAAAAAAACAGAAAAAGTAAACGCCACATCAAATTGTCGTCAATGGTTATGACACAAAATGAAATCCCCTAGGAATTTGGAAATTAGACATTCACGGGATTACGACGAACTGAAATTACAACGCATACTTAATGCGAATTAATTAAATGTATAAATTTCGTTTTCAATTATGTTGGGACGCAATATTATGTGGGTTTTATGTGTTGGTGATAAATTGTGGTTGCTCTGGTTGTTGTTGCTTTGGCATTAGTACTTAACATCAGTGGAGCAGCAGGTGTATGGGAGAGGGTGGCAATTGCGATGACAATTTATATTCGAAAATGCGTCTGGTGAAGAAAACTATTTTTGATAAAACAAAAAAAAATATGCACACCATTTCATGTGCTAACCGGCAGATAGACATACCGACAGCCAGCCAGAAAGTAAGACATACGAAGGGTGAAGCAAATGGACAGCATAACAAAGTTTCGTTACTAAACAAACCAAATTTGTGCGTACAACATATTAAAAAGCAAATACCAATTGTCGTTGATGTTGTTGCTACGACGGTGGCGTCGGCGGCGGTGGCTACTGGGCTTGGGTCAATTGTTGGTGTTGTTGTTATTGTTGTCACTGGTGGTATTGGCAGTATTGTTGGTGCTGATGTTGGATACCTTTTGGAAATTGTCGATCGATCGATTTCCCGTGTACGTTTTGGGCTCTTTTGGCCCCGCTGCCTTTGGTGTTGTATTTTTGCGTCATCAGCGGCTAGATTTCGAATTTCTTTGGCAACGCTCAGCATTGGTATAAAATCATGAGTATTTGGTGAAATTGGTATCATTGTTTTCGAATCAATTCTATTGTGAACATCGGCAGCACATAGAGTAGCCCGGATTTTTGCTGTTCCAAAATTCAAACGAACCCTTTTTCCAATTTGAATTACTTGATTTTGAAGATGGCCTTCCGTTTTACGCAATTTTTGGCCGTAGGCTGTCTCTTGTTGGCTGTTGCCGCCCCCTTGAATGCTGCTGTCGTTGATAATGCTGTGGCCGAGCCACGCATTGACTCCTCGGAGGAATTGATCTCGAGCATTGTGGATAACTGCTTCAACTCGAATGCCCTTCGTTGCCTGAATGAGAAAGTTTTGACTTATTTGGATACCGTGGCTGGTGTTGATGAGGATGTCACTGGACGTGCCTTGAACGATGATGTTGTTGATAGCGTCATTGCTGATCGTGTTGGCCGCATCTTGAAAAATAACGAGATCCGTGTACAATTGCCCGAAACTGTCTTTGCCAACTCTGTTGTGACCTACCGTGCTGACCGTGGTTTCGATTTGGAAATTCCCGAATCCACTGATGGTGAGTTTAGCCGCCAGCATCTGAGGTGAATTGTTCTAACAATTGATTTTTTTTCTTTTTATTTCTTACAGCTCGTGGCCACAAGAAGAAGAACAACAAATTGTTCTTGCCCTTGTTGTTGCTCTTGAAATTGAAAATGGGTGTTGTTATGCCCATCCTAATGGCTTTGCTTAAATTGAAGGTCTTCAAGGCTTTGATCTTGTCCAAGATTGCCATCAAATTGGTTTTGGGCTTCCTCTTCTACCAATTGATCCAAAAATTGGGTGGTGCTAAGATGTCCATGACTCCCGTGCCAGCTGCTTCATCTTACGACCCCAGCAGCTGGGAAACTCCCAGTGGTGGTCCCTATGCCCGTTCTGATGCCCATTACATGGCCTACAACAACTACCACCCCAACAGCTACAGCAGCTCCTCTTAAGTGTTGTGCACTAACATTAAGCAGGGAATAAAATGAAGAGAGCCAAAACGTTTCTCTTCACTTCACACTCCCTTTGCCATTAATCTCTAAGAGGTTGTCGAAAGCACAAAACAAAGCAAGCTTTCATACTAGCTCCATTACCAATTCCCCAAAAAAAAAAGAACTCCCATAACAAAAATCCAGGACAAGCCATAGGTAAACGTAACTGAGGATTTCCTAAGATGCTACAGGAAATCTCACACAACCCCCAAATAATTGTTAATTTATTTTAAATAGTTTTTAAATAGTTTCACATTCAAAGCTCTTCAAGAAGAGGCCATAAAGTCATTTTCCTGCATGATCTACTACTATAAAGTTTTCCCTTTGCTTGCTATCCTTCCATCCTATCTCCGCCACTGCCACCTTACTATCCTATCAATTTTCTTGATTTCTTTTTCCCTACTGTCTATCATATCTTTCACATTCCTCTATCATTATAAGACTGTCAAAACTTTCAGAACTTTAATTTCCTCCTTTCATCTCCATCGACCAAATGACATCCAAAAAAACAAACGCACAAACAAAGATTAAGTTAATATTTATTTAATTTATTAAATCCAAATGCTATTTAAGAATAAAGAAAGAAACATAAATATGTAGAAAATGTTAAAAAAAAAATAATTATTTTTAATGTGAATCGTTTAACTGAAGCTAAGTTAGAAGGCGTAATAGGCCTACATGTAAATCAATCATAAGCCTTGAAGGAATTTAAAATTGATTTCTATGGAAAAGAAAACTAAGGTAAATATCACCAATTATCGTTAAAAAAATGTGTGTCGGTTTATATTCGACAGCTAGTGCAGGCACGAGTCGGTTATAATAAAGTGAGACGCGTCGTTTCAGAGACAGAAAGTCAGGATCGGTCCCTGTTATGTGACCATATACGTCTTCGAAATCAACAACAATATAAAGGTCAGAAGTGTCCTTTTCACATATTTCTATTTTCATCTAGAAGTGATTTTCAGTTTTAACAAGTAAAAAAGCTGTAAGTTCGGCCGGGCCGAACTTTTAATACCCTCCACCATTTGAAACGAATTTGGCAATTCTCAAAAATATATAATCTGTTAAAACTTTAGTTAAAATCTTAAAAATACCGAATGTAGCTGTTATATTAGGGTCTATACGACGAAATGGACCTGCATTGGTAACTTTTGTCAATTTTCAAATGTAGTATCCATTACGAACTTCAAATACCAAACTTGAAACAATTTCGTTGAATAATGTAGCTAAAATCATCAAAATACTGAATGTAGGGAGGTAGCGTTATATGGGGTATACGAAGACGTTGACCTGCACAGACAATTTTCTGTCTTAGGCTATATGATCCATTACGAATTTCAAATAAAAAATTTGAAACAATTCCTGCACAGACAATCTCTTGTCATAGGCTGTAGCATCTATTACGAACACTAAATACCAAATTTGAAACAATTTCGGTGAATAATATCGCTAAAATCAACAAAGTACCGAATGTCGAGGGTACCGTTATATGAGGCTATACGAAAACGTGGAACTGCACATACATTTTCCGTCTTAGACTCTAATATCCATTTCGAACTTCAAATACCAAATTTGAAACTATTCCGGCAAACAATGCCGCTAAAATCATCAGCCCGCTTATATGGGGTCTATACCAAAACGTGGACCTACATAGTCCATTTTCAATACGAAAAGTCCTGCAGACATAATATACATTTGTGTAAAATTTTATCAATCTACCTCAATTCTTTCGGAAACTAGAGTGATTTCCTCAGACGGACATCGCTAAATCGTCATATAATTTTATGCTGATCAGGAATATATATACTTTGTGAAATCTATAATGTATATTTCGAGGTGTTACAAACGGAATATTTCCGAATAAATAGAAATTTTTGACATTTTTCATTATTTCATCCGCTATGTATTTTCCAATGAACACCTAAATATAATAGACTTTTATCCTGTCCTAAACTCTATCCCGATGCAAACATTCGAGACTGGAACATCACAAATTTGGCTGTGGTCTAAATTATCCTCCAAATATTTAATATATGTTATAAGTATATAATTATTGAAAAATATAATAATAAATTATATTCCGATCCTAGCTCTGAACCCTGTAGTTTAACTACAAACTAACATGAACTGACAGACGGATTAACACACATAGCTAGAACGAGATATGATGATCGGTGTACCATATGGTGGATCTAGAACTAATATTTCGAGATTTTATTTTTTCAAACTTATATTGCTCTCACAACATGTGGTATAAATCAAAGGCCCAAAAATTAAATCAATATCCGGCAAAATTTTTTCGGTATTAATTGTAATGATAACAATATACCAGTTATTTCTGTAAAAGCTACAAAATAAAGTAATAAAACAGCAGTTAGTAACATCTTCACATAGTGAGCTCGCCCGACTTCAAAACCTAAGGCTTCTGGTTCGATACTGTAACTATATTCGTTATTTTGATTATTTTAGTCAGATGTTTCTACGAAGTTGTTCCAAATTTGGTACAGAGATTTTGTAACCAGTTCTACGTCCTATGGCATATCATTGTCTATATAGGTCCTCGTTTTTCTATATGCCCCATATAGCGAAACTTGTAGATATTTTGCATTTTTATGATTTAGGACATATTTTAAATCAGATTTTTCTCAAATTCGCTATCTTTAGTTCATAATGGCTTTTACAACCGGTGTCAAAACATTGTTCATATTGACCCAAGATTTCCATAGATCCGATATTTGGTATTTTGATGTCCTCGCCACGTTTTTCCGTGGTGTGGTTGTGTAGTGTTTTTTTTTTTTTTTTTTCTTTTAGCTGACGGTGAAACTCGAACTTTTAAACTTCGGTCGAACGCACACACACTGTGCCGACGATACTGATTACTGGGTAATGAGGAAAATAAGAAGTTTAGCTTCAGATTTTTTTAGGAGATACAGGGTTTGTTATACTTTGTAACGGGTTTTTTGGTTCATATAGGATACTAATTTTCGCCAGATTAAGCCCTCAATCCGCAAATAAAATAATAACAATGGGTGAGGTGAAACGAAACACAAATAGAACGATTTTTATACCCTCCACCATAGTATGGAGGGTATATTAAGTTTCTTATTCCTTTTATAAAACCTCGAAATATGCATTCTAGACCCACAAAGTATTCTTAATCAGCGTAAAATTCTATGTCGATTTGCGATGTCCGTCCGTCTGTCTGTGTAAACACTCTAGTTTCCGAACGAATTGAAGTAGGTTGATAAAATTTTACTCAAATGTATATTATATCTACAGGACTTTTGGTTTCGACCATATAGGTCCACCTTTTGGTATAGCCCCCATATAATGGTACCTCCTTATTTTCGGTATTTTGGTGATTTAAGTGACATTATCAACCGGAAATGTTTCAAATTTGGTATTTGTGTATACCACAGCCTATGACAGAAATTGGATGTACAGATCCACGTCTTCATATAGCCCCCATATAACGGCACCCCTCGATATTCAATATTTTAGATTCGTATAATTTTTGGTATTGAAAAATATAGGCCAATATTTTTATATAATCAGCATATAACTTTACTGCCAGATTTAAGGTGTTTTGGCTGTTTTAGTCATATTTTTGAACAGAATTTGCTGTAAATTTGGAACTTTATGTTTCCTATATAGAGGAAACCTCCATACAAACCTAAGTTTAGGTATAGTTTTCACATAACTTTACCCCTATATTTGGTATCTTGATAATATGCGTCACAGTTTACCTCCATTGACAGAAAATTGCGCATATAGGTCCAAGTCTTCGTATAACCCCGATATAACGGTACATCTCAATATTCGATAATTTTAGCTGCTTTACACTACTAAACACTATACTTTTGCCCGTTTTTTTTTCCACGTATTCATTGTCCCATATATCTGAAAGACCTGAAATTTGTGTTTTTTTTTTAAATTTTAGTAGCATATTCCAATGGATTTTTCATATTTTGCACGTTTCTTCTAAAGAGAGGAGGGTATTAAACGTTCAGTTCGACCGTTTGTAACTTGTTGGGAACTAAAAATTTATCTCAGCTTTTATTTCTGAATTGAGGATCATTATTGAGGTGCAGAATATAAAAACCATTCAAATTAAGTTTGGAAATTGTCGATTGTTCGGACAAAAAAAAATCATAAATTAGCATGATCTCATTTTTAGTGCGACAATTTGAATAAATCTTCAAATGTTTATTTTTAATAATATCGATATTTTTATACTGATTTATAGAATTGCGTGCAACTTAAAAAATTATAGCAACAGAAAGCAGGGATTGTTAATTTAAAACTAAGATTCCAATCTGTGCGATATTTAGATTACATTGAACATCAGTTCAATAAACATCCGAAAATTTAAAGGAAGCGCAGCGAAAAAAAATAGAAAATAAGGCCATGGATATTAAGCGTGTTTTGGCAATTTATTTAATCATCGGCATCACCATTGTATTGGTAAATGCCGAAGATAGCGAAATAGAAACATTGATGAAGGACCACGAAATTATACCTGATGTCCTGGATGAGGCACCCATGGAATTTTTAAAGGTTGGTCTTAAAAAGAAGTTTGATGTAGGACATAAACATTTTTTTTTATTTATCTAGGTGACCTTTGAAGGCGACATATCGGCCGACAGGGGCGTTGAGCTGACCCCCACCCAAGTTAAAGATAAACCGGTAGTCGTATGGGAAGCTGATGCGGATAGTTTCTACACTTTGCTTATGATTAATCCTGATATTCCATCTCGTGCAGATCCATACCAACGAGAATTGAACCATTGGCTAGTGGGTAATATTCCCGGCAATCAGATGGACAATGCCGAAATCTTGCGAGATTATATTGGTTCGGGTGCTCGAAAGGATACGGGTTTACATCGTTATTTGATACTTTTGTTTAAACAACCAGGGAAATTGGAATTTGACGAGCAGCGTCATACTGATCTAGAAGCTATTGGCCGTGAAAATTTCAACACCAGGAAATTTGTAGAAAAATATAATTTGGGTAGACCATTGGCTGGTAATATTTTTCTGGCTGAATATGATGATTATGTACCGTTGGTGTATAAAAAATTGGGTCTAACCCCATAGATGGTCACAAACACTGAACATATTCGTCAAGAATTCTCTCTTTGGTCAAGGAAATGGAATCAATTACAAACTATTTAATATTTAGTTTATAATAAATATATACGTATGTATATATTTAAATATATTAAAGCATATAAACAAATTGTGTTTGTTATTGCTGCCTGCGTCGTAAAGAACAAGTTAAAAAGTATATATTTTGACCTATGTCGCTTTCTCGGATATCTTTAAACTTTTGTAGGGCAAATACTAAACAAGTTGACCGTACATGCAATTTTAGCACCAGGTCTTATCTTGGCAAAAACAGACCGTTACATTCCATCATCATTCTAGATATAGCGTTGACAGAAATATTTGAATTTACATGATAGAAAAGTACTGATGAATCATTTCACATATTATAGGTGCTATGATTATTCCGAATTTTTAACATTTGTGTAGGGGTTAGCGAAAGGAGTGGGCGATATTTTGGCCCTTGCCCAAATAAAGGCAAAAATTCGGGGATATCCTAATTTGAAACAAATCAAAACTTTGGAACTTTTCAAAATAGCAACTATGTTTAGGATTGGTGTAAGTTACTTCAAACAAGAATCCGGGGGTGTGCGGTCGTAAGATTTTCTTCCATTACGTTTTCCATGTCGGCAATATCAGCCAGTTTCGGAAAATAGGGAGCACTCTTAACTCGGGAAGTTTAGACCAATTATGACAAAGCTTGCTAAAGACTGGGATTAATGTAGAGGCAATTTAAAAAAACTTGAAGCCAATCTGCTGGTTAACGCACACATTTCGGAGTCTAAGGATGCAGAGATTAACTGAAACCTTAAAGAAAAAAAATAAACCTAAGAGCTGCAGCTCTGAGACCTGTCTTGTCGTGATGAGAATATGCAGGGTTGGATTCAAAAGAAAATGAAAGTTACTCGCTTATAAGTCAAGAACAGCAGAAATGAACAAAATTTATGAAAGTCGAAATATATACCCTAGAACTCTATGTGTTGGGGGTATATTTGTTTGAGTGGGCCAAAATTTATGTAAGACCTCGAAATACTGGCCCCCACATAGAAATGTATTTTTGGATCTTCCTATCTCGCCGTGCTGAGTCGATCTAGCTATGTATGTCCGTCCGTCCATCTGTCCATGTTAAATTGTAATCACGCTACAGGTCGCAATTATGGTCCGATCCTCACGAAATTGGAAATGGACATGAGGATGGAGTGAGAATAGAAAGAAGTCTATTGTTTTTGGATATGATAGCAAAACATTTAGGGTATTGAAATGAACAAAAAACAAAAAAAAATCCTGATTTTGCAGTTGCTCTGCAGACCATAATTACAGATCATACGACGCGAAATTTAGCATTGAGTTAGGGGTTAGAGTTGGGCAGAAGCCTAACAATTTGAATGGTCATCGGACAATATTTAGTGGGTAAAATAGACCATAACTTTTATGTAAAAAATATTCGCAATTTTCTACTAAACCGCGAATACTTTTAATCCTGGTCAAATCACAAATACATTAAAGGGTGACTTCTGACCATTACAGTGATGCTGATAGCCAAGATATAGGGTATATAGCAAAATAGGTACAACATATAGAGGACGAGATGGAAAACCTGCAACCAACTTCATATTGCTGTCTTTATATTTGGCTGGAAAATCGCGAGAGTACTCCAGCATTTAAATGTGAATAAATCCTTTGTGTCTCGTACCATCGCTTGTTACTTGTTACCGTGATACTGGTAGCGTAGCCCGACTTGAAGGAACTGGACGGAAGCAAACAGCAACATTAGCAGATGTTGTTTGAAAGTTCTTTGAAAAGTGAAGAACCGACTTGATCGAAATCCGCGTCGCAGTGACCGAAAAATGGCTTGTGAGCTGAACATATCGCAATATTCCTTTCGGCCAATATTGAAAAATTAGCTCGGGGTAAAGCGATTGAAATTCCAAAAAGTCCAAGAATTTACACCGCAACAGAAAGAAAATAGACTCAAAAGAGCTAAAGTGTTGCTTGGCCGAAAGAGGTGAACTGCCGAATTTTATTTTCTCCGATGAGAAACATTCGTTGTTCAGCAGTTTGTAAAAAAATGATCGTGTTTACTTGCCAAAGAGGACAGCTGAAAATCTTCGCCTTCGGTGGGCCACCAGAACTCAAGCGCCGCCCTTGGGTATGCAAACATTTTGGCCGCAGACCTTGGACATTCCAACTCAGCACCATCGCACTCAGCACGCACTACCCAAGAATGGTTACAAAAAGAGATTCCTCACTTCATTTTCAGCGCGCAATGGGCACCAAAATCTGTGGATACCAATCCTTTGGACTATTGTGTCTGGAGTATTTTGGAAAGCAAGTTTGGTACTAAAAAATACCAAAGTTTGATGGCCATAGTCCAAAAGTGACCAATTGGGAGAAATCTAAACTTATGCTAAAATTTAATGCTATTTCCCACATTATTTATAAAAATGTACAAATTATGGCGTTTGATTTTGTTTTTATATAAGAAAATCTAAGAAAAACTCGTAAAAATATGACAATAGAAAAGTGAATATTTTTTGTTTATTTTTTCAATTTTTGTCATATTTTTTATCGCATGCGATTTTTTTAATTTGAATTGTACATTTTCTAATGTTTTCTGCACCCCGCAACACTATGTGTTTTTTAACGCAACTAAATTAGTTATGCGATGTTAGAAAAATTCAATATATTAAAGTTTTCGGTTTAGCCTTCAGCAAAAAATCGGCTTGTTTACTTTCCAACCCAAAATGGACTTAAATTAGTCTCGATTTAAAATTTTGTAATGCTATATGCTAAATAAAAAATGCAAAATGTATTTTCACATCTGAAATGGGCTAATCTTCATAAATCATGAACATGCGCCGAATGTGATACATCCGGTAAATAATGGCGAGTCCACAAAACACACACACTGATAATGTATCAATCGATTTTCATACCAAAACAAATTAACCGCAATTTACAGTCATTATAAGTCAAATATTATTTATATGAATAGGGAATACATTTATTCAAGCACAAAACCGATGTAGTTATCGAGAGTTATATGAAGTAATCCACCAGTCTAGATAAAAAATAACTTGTAATCACGCAAATGATTTTAATGATTACTGAAGAAGAAATTAGAAATTAGAAATCAGTACAAAGCTATATTTGAGATTTTTATTTGAATCATTAAAATTGTTTTTTTTTTTTTCTATTACCACGACAATCTCAGTAAAAATAGGAATAAATCTAATCGAAATTCGTATATATTTCACTATTAAAGGGAATTTTACCTTTAACATTGGCAATTGAAATACTAAATCTGGATCTTTTTTATACCCTCTACCATAGTATGGTATATATTAAGTTTGTCATTCCGTTTGTAACACCTCGAAATATACATTTTAGACCCCACCAAGTGTATATATTCTCGATCAGCATAAAATTCTTTGTCGATTTAGTGATAACCGTCCCTCTGTGGAAATCACTCTAGCTTCCGAACGAAAAGAAGTAGGTTGATAAAATTTTACTCAAATGTGTATAATGCCTGCAAGACTTCTGGTATTGAACATTGATCATGTAGGTCAACGATTTAGTTTAGCCCCCATATAATGGTACCTGCCTTTTTCTGTATTTTGGTGATTTAAGCGACATTGTTCACCGGAATAGTTTCAAATTTGGCGTTTGAAGTTCATAATGGCTACTACAGCCTATGACAGAAAATTGTCTGTGAGGGTCCACGTCTTCGTGTAGCCCCCATATAATTGTACCTGCCTTTTTCTGTATTTTGGTGATTTAAGCGACATTATTCACCGGAATTGTTTCAAATTTGGTGTTTGAAGTTCGTGATGAATACTACAGCTCATGACAGAAAATTGTCTGTGCAGATCCAGGTCTCCGTACATCTCCCATATAACGGAACACCCCCCCCCCCCCCCATATTCGGTATTTTGACGATTTTAGCGACATTATTCTCCGGAATTGTTTCAAATTTGGCGTTTGAAGTTCGTAATGGATACTACAACATATGACAAAAATTTGTCTGCGCTACGTTATTGTTAGCTACGTTATTCACCGATTTTTTATTCAAGTTTCGCATTTGAGTAATGTAATGGTTTATGACAAAAGTTGCCTATACAGGTCCACGTCGCCGTATAGACCCTAATAAACCGGCTACATTCGGTATTTTTAAGATTTTAAGAAAATTTTTAACGGATTTTATTTTTTTGAAAATTGCTAAAATCGTTCTAAATGGTGAAGGGTATTCAAAAATAAGCCCGGCCGAACTTACCATGTCAATCTCACTGAAAATAGGAATAAATTGAGCTAAATTTGTATATCTTTCAATATTAAAGGAATTTAACATTGGCGATTGAAATACTAAACTTGGCACAATCGGAACCTATTTTGTCAATTCTTATTGAAAGTAGATAATTGTAAATTATTGAATAATTTCACCCTTTCTTAGCACATTGGCACCATACATTTACAAGCTTTTTCAAATAGTTTGGCACCATACAGTACGCATTTGAAGAACCTATAAATTGTATTTTTTTTAAATTTTTGGAACTTTGCTTAACAAGTTTTGTACGACCGCACATTCCAAGTAACACAGAAAGAAACTAGACTCAAAACAGCTAAATAGTTGCTTCGCTTGGCCTAAAGTGGTGAACTCTGATGAAAAAACATTCCTTGTCCAGAACGCAAACATTTTGGCCGCAGGAATGGTTACAAAATGAGGTTTCTCACTTCATTTCCAGCGCACAATGGCCACCAAAATCTCCGGATACCAATCTGTGGCCTATTGTGTCTGGAGTATTTTGGAAGCAAGGTTGGCACTTAAAAATACCAAAGTGTCGATCACCTCAAGTAAGCGCTTCGCCGGGAATGAGACAAAAAACGCATTCGGGCAGCGTTCGGGCATGGTATCACTTCCAGAAGGATTATATTAAATAAATATATATCGAAGCCGAGTTTCACAAAATGGAAACGTACGTCCCGAAATTCACTTCATTTTGGCTGATATTAGCCATTTGCACTATGAACCCGAAATCGGTTTAAGGATATATATAAGCTATATCCAAATGATAGTCGTTCTCAATAAAATTTTGCAAAACTTTTTCAAATATTATTGTTGTCGAACGCATATTACGAATATGAGGGACTTAACACTAAATCGGCTAAAACATATATATGGCAGCTATAGCTATATCTGAACCGATTTTCTCCAAATTTGATGTAGTTGCTTCTAGACTGAATTCGGTTGGATTTACCAAAATTCAGGTAATTAGGACATATATTGAACATTTGGCGCACAATTAACTCAAAATCGGTGGAAGATTAATATGGCAGCTATATCCAAATCTGTACCGATCTTGATACAATTTGGCAGAGATATTTCTAGGATGTATCTTACATTTGGTACCAAATATCATTGCTGTGGACTGCATATTACACATGTGAGGGACTTAAAAACCCAAATCGGATGATAGATGTATATATATATATATATATATATATATATATATATATATATATATATATATATATATATATATATATATATATATATATATATAGATATATATATATATATATATATATATTCTCCAGCCGTAATTTGGGTGAGTCACATATTTAGATGTCTGTCACAACAAGAACATAGGAAAATTTTCAGTTCTTTATTTTTATGGATTCGGAAGAAAGCCTGATTATGATTATACGCTGAATATAAAAAGTAAGTTATTAAATTAATGACAAGTTATTAAATTAATGACAAACCTTAGTATACCGTTCATATGGTTCGGCCATAAAAATCAAACCGTCTATAGTGGATTTAAGCCATGTTAATAACATTCATATGTAAACAATAGCGCACTTCGCATTGCGTGTCAATCGAAAAGCTTCGCCTCGTTTTGAGCTTTGAATAAAAGCTCCAGACAAAAGAATGAAAAGAAACATACTAAAATCTACAGCTGTTTTGAACTTAAAACAGAGATTTCAATCCAAACGCTAGTCAGTTAACATTTAACATTAAATCAATACAGATCTCAAACTTTAAAAAACAAAATAAAAAATAAAAATCAGTAAAATATATTAATAAACATCATGACCTTTAAATACATTTTGGCTTTAAGTTTAATTGGTGGACTGGCGATTGTAAATGCCGGCGATAGTGAAATAACCAAGTTTATGAAACATTTGGAAGTGATACCCGATGTCCTGGACGAGGGACCAAAACATTTCCTAAAGGTGAAGAAATGAGAATGAATTCTTTGTAATAGAAAAGAAAGTTTAATGGTTTTTATAAAAATTGGGTCACAAAGAAATTTCGCTCATAAATTATTTGTGAAATCTGTTTTTTCTCTAGATCACCTATGACAATGGCATTTTGGCTGATAAAGGGGTGGAATTGACACCCACCCAGGTGAAAAATCAACCAAAGGTTGAATGGGATGCTGAGGCTGGTACCTACTATACCCTGCTTATGACAGATCCTGATGCCCCCTCCCGCAAAGATCCTGTCATTCGAGAATGGCATCATTGGTTGGTGGGCAACATTCCCGGAGATCAACTGAATAAAGGTGAAGTTTTGACAGCCTATGTTGGCTCTGGTCCACCAAAGGATACCGGTTTACATCGTTATGTCTTCTTGTTGTTCAAACAACCCAAAAAATTGGAATTTGATGAGAAACGTTTCAGCGATAAAGAAGCTGCAGGACGTGAGAAATTCTCCACCAAAAACTTTATAAAGAAATATAATTTGGGTGCTCCTTTGGCTGGTAATTTCTATCAGGCTCAATATGATGATTATGTGCCACTTTTGTACAAACAACTAGGTTTGTAATCGATGGCAATGAGTAAAACCGTATTCATTCTCTGTATTCATCATTAATTATATTTTACACTTTAACTTTGTCTTTTGTAATGGACCCACTCTTGCATCCATCTGGTTTGTTTCAAAATATACCAAATCACCAAATTTCAAACTAGTTTTGAGGTTGGCAAAGATGCTGTTGCTGATCTTACCAACCGGTAGTCTTAAGTTATAAACCTAATAAATCTTTTAATTAGCAGGGAGCCAGCAGCTGGCTACGTGCGCTCGGCGAAAGCAAAAAAGATAAATTAATAAAAATCATGCTTAGCATAAATTAACAATGCAAATTTCTCGGGCTGGGTATGTTATGTTGTTTTTCTTTTTTTCTAATAAAATGAAGCATAAAAAAGACATATCAACCTTTGTGGGTTTCAGTTACATTAATACATAGTTCAAGACCAATCAAGGATAAGATAAATGCAGACGTCTTCTGTCAGTCTAGTTGTTCAGCTTAGCAGAGCAAACTTGCAATGCATTTTATTTCTACTCAGATATCAGTTAACTGTTATTTGAAAGACCTTCAAAGACCGTAGTATCTCTCTGTACAATTCCATCAATAGTGGGTTGGTCATTTTTTTCTACCTGTCGTGGTCGAACTGGTTCTAGTGGACAAGTGGCTAAAATGCTAAACATTAACAGCCGCATTTATTATTATTTTTTTTTAATATAAACTTTATTAAATAATTAGAATGTGAGCACGCGGCTTTATCAATGTGTTTTAGTAATTGCACTGAAAACAATTGGTAACACCCACCCAACGAGATTGTAGTATACTGTCGAACTTGGATGTAATGAATAATAATTAAGGCATGAATTGAGAGTTTAAAATAAATGCGACGAAAAAATGGAACGCAAAAGCTAGCTTGTAAAACAGCTAAAGCCGGAAATTAAAATGATGCAAAAGGGCCATACACGGTGCTGGGGTTTCAGATAAATGGGATTTACGGAAGCCCGTACCACCTTCTATGCTTAGGTGTGGTATTAGAGACTTTTCTTAATTCACTCTTTAAGGTTACATATAATACCAAAGGGTAAAAATTATTGTTATTATTGTAATCTATATTGATTAATTCATGCTTCAAAAAGTGATCACAAATAACAGCTAAAAACGCTGAAAACTCAATATTTAAGGAGATATGGCCATTTTAAAGTTGGCAATAATTCCTTCCCAAAAAAGTGATCACGAATAATAGCTATAAACCCCGAAATTTCAATATTTAAGGAGTTATGGCCATTTCAAAGTTGCCAATAATTCCTTCCCAAAAAAGTGATCACGAATAATAGCTATAAACCCCGAAATGTCAATATTTAAAGAGTTATGGCCATTTTAAGATATGCAATAATTCCTTCCCAAAAAAGTGATCACAAGTAATAGCTAAAAACCCAGAAATGTCAATATTTAAGGAGTTATGGCCATTTCACAGTTGCCAATAATTCCTTCCGAAATTTGAATATTTAATGAGTTATGGCCAGTTTAAAGTTTCCAATAATTCTTTCTCAAAAAAGTGATCACAAATAATAGCTAAAAACCCCGAAATGTCAATATTTAAAGAGTTATGGCCATTTTAAAGTTTGATAAAAAATATTTAAGGAGTTATGGCCATTTTAAAGTTTTTATAATTCTTTCCCTAAAAAGTAATCACAAATAATAGCTAAAAGCCGTGAAAACTCAATATTTAAGGAGTTATGGTCGTTTTAAAATTGTGATTAATTCATGTTTCAAAAAGAAATTACAAAAAATAGCTGAAAACTCAATATTTAGGGAGTTATGGCCGTTTTTAAATTGTGATTAATTCATGTTTCAAAAAGTGATCACAAATAATAGCTTAAGACGCTGAAAACTTAATATTTAAAGAGGTATGGCCATTTTAAAATATTGATTAATTAATGCTTGAAGAAGTGATCACGAATAATAGCCATCACTTATTTCGAGAGACCTTTCAGAAGTTAAAATAAAATATTTATAGCAAAATGTCCATCTCCAAATACCTTTTTTACTGTCAAGTACACACCTTTAAACAAAATATTATTTTTACTTTTTATAAGCCTATCAAAATTCAACCCTGTATTAACAGTCAGCCTTAAGATATATTTTAATATTCTAGCCCTGAATCGTTCTACATATGTCAATGTCAATAATAAGTACCAATGTTAACAACAATTCATATCAATTGGTGCTTTTCAACGAGCTTTAATGAAAAATGCTCCCATTGCACGTCAAGATTGGTTCTACTCTTGTCAATAAATTTGTTTTTTTTTTTTTAATTTAGAAGATGTGAGCTCTTAAATTTGGTCTAAAGGTGAATTAGAAATAAAAAATGTTGTATACAAAAAAATGAATGTCACTATAACAAATTTTTAATCAAAACACATGTTACAACAACTGATACAATAAATATAGTCATTAACATAACAATACCCTTTGGCATATACTACGAGTGGGTATTTTAATTTATTGATAAAATATCACATCGCGTGCCTTTTGAGCATGTTAGGGAGGTATTTATCGACTAACGTCATTATTTTTCCAAACCAAATCAACCTCAAAATGCAGTCAGTATGAAATAAATAATGCATCATTTACTTATTATTGAAAAAATTATTTTATTCATGCGAAAGCTTACAGGCGGATATAATTGGTGGTTGAATTTTGTTGACAAACACAGGTAAGCATTCCAATGACAATTTTGGAGGAACCTTATTTATTAAGGGCTCATTTGTACGATATATTAGTCTCATCCTCAGTTGATAATTACTTAAAAGCTAAATTTTCGGAAAGGCCTTTTTGCCTTTCAGGTTGTATTCAGGCAATCATCGTCCAATTCTCAAAAAATTTAGCATGGAGTTAAGGGTAGGGTCAGAATAGAAGTCTATTGTCTTGAAGATAAATATTTAGGGGTTTAAATGGATCAAAAAAATATTTTTTTCCTGATTTTGCAGTTGTTTTACAGGTTACAATAAATAAAAACCAATCTACAAAGAATTTTGAATTTAGAGAGAGTTAAGGACTGGACAGAAGTCTAGCATTTTGGACGTTTTCTTTTTATGTGAAATTGTTTTGAATACCAGTCAGCAAGACGGAGAGGGGAAAATATAGGGAAACCAAAGGTATGGCATTATTTCAAATATATATATATAATATATCCATATATTGTAGTGTTGTAGGATATCACATGGTCGGCCCCGCACGTCCATAGCCTGTACTTACTTGCTTTATTGTTGACTTTGTCTTCGATTCGACTTAAAAATGTTTGAAAACAAATTAAATATTTAAATAATTTGATAATTTGATTTAGATTTTAGTACAGGCCTGAAACTTAGCTTTCAAATGGTCAACTGGTAATCTAAAGGGTTAAATGGTAAATAAAAATTGATGCTGGGAGTCACAACCCCGCAAAATCAACTTCAACTTTTAGAATAAGATTAGCTTTGTTCGAATTGGTTACCTTTGGCACGAATTATGGCCCTCAAACGGCCAATAAACCGTCACACGTAGCCCGAGGTCTGCGGCCAAAATGTACGGGTGCCCAAAGCTTTATTACACCCTCCAGAATATTTTCTCGATAATATTCGGCATTTATTCTGATGCGACCATCGGCTGTTATGGTGGCCCACACCATCACCATGCCCGGCCGGCCGGCACTTGAGTTCTGGTGGCCAACCGAAAGTGCATATTTTCAGCTGACCTCTTTGGCAAGTAAACACAATGTTTTCTTATCAGAGACACCCAAATTCGGTAGGTCACCTCTTTCGGCCAAGTGAAGCAACTTTTTAGCTCTTTTGAGTCTATTTTCTTTCTGTTGCGGTGTAAGTTCTTGCACTTTTTGAAATTTTAATGGCTTTAACCCGAGCAAATTTTTCAATATTTGCCGAATGGAATACTGCGATATGTTCAGCTCACGAGCCATTTTTCGGCCACTGCGACGCGGGTTTCGATCAAGTCGCTTCTTTACTTTTCGAACCATTTCTGCTGATGTTACTGTTTTCTTCCGTCCACTTCCTTGACATCGGGCTACGCTACAGGTATCACGGTAAAGAGCGATGGTACGAGACACAAACGATTTATTCACATTTAAATGCTGGAGTGTTCTAACGATATCCACTTGTTGTTTTCCAGCCAAGTATAAGGAAATCACATTAAAACAACATTTAAAGGTGAATAAATCTTTTATGTTTCGTACCATCGCTCGTTACCGTGACACTGGTAGCGTAGCCCGACGTCAAGGAAATGTACGGAAGAAAACAGCAACATCAGCAGAAATGGTTCGAAAAGTAAAGTTGATCGAAACCTGCGTCGCAGTGGCCGAAAATATCGGCAAATATTGAAAAATGAGCTCGAGGAAAATCCATTGAAATTCCAAAAAGTGCAAGAACTTACACCGCAACGGAAAGAAAATAGACTCAAAAGAGAAAAGAGCTTCGCTTGGTCGAAAGTGGTGAACTGCCGAATTTGGTTTTCTTCGTTGAGAAAACATTCGTTGTCCAGCAGTTTGTAAACAAACAAAATGATCGTGTTTACTTGCCAAAGGGGTGATGATGAAAATGTGCACCTTCGGTTGGCCACCAGAACTCAAGCGCCGGCCATGGTGGTGGTGTGGGCCACCATAACAGCCGATGGTCGCTCTCCGCTCATATTAACCGATCATGGCATCAGAATAAATGCCGAATATTATCTCGAAAATTCTGGAGGATGTATTAAAGCCTTGGCACGCAAACATTTTTGCCGCAGACCTTGGACATTCCAACTCGGCACCATCGTACTCAGCACGCGCCACCCAATGATGGTTACAAAATGTGGTTTCTCGCTTCATTTTCAGCACACAATGGCCACCAAAATCTCCGGATACCAATCCGTTGGACTGTTGTGTCACTAAAAAATACCTAAGTGTCGATCGCCTCAAGCAAGCGCTTCCCCGGAAATAGGCCAAAATACCGCAGAGCAACATTCGGGCAGCGTGTGACGGTTTCATTGACCATAATTCGTGCTAATGGTGACCAATTCAAGAAATCCAAAACTTTTTCTAAAATTTGATGCTATTTCCGACATTTTTTGCTTTCATTCAATAGAATTAACAAAAATGTAAATTTTATGGCTTTTGACTTTGTTGCAGTTTTTTTTATCTCACCCTGTATGTCCGAGCGGTGAAGATCTATATTTGTGCTATGTGTGTCCATGGAGTTATGCCAAATGATAGGGATTCAATATTATGTTGTAAGTGCCAACTAAAATTGTTTAAAGAATGGTTAAAGAATATCGCAAGGCACGTGGACCTATAGAGACCACTTTCTGCCTAAGTGTCCATTAAGAACTTCAAATACAAAATTTCAAACAATTACGTTGAAAATCTGGTTATAACATTATTAAAATACACTCAAACTACGGTGTCGGGCAAAAATGTCTGCTGTTGATTATAAATGTCGATAAATGACACAAAAATTGAATTTGAACTTACCGTCCACTCAATATCAGCATTGCTTCCAGGAAGATGCATAAAAGCGTTATTAATATTAGTCACAATTGTCCTCGCCAATTAAACACAATGATCGTCGAGGAAACTTACACATGCAGCTAACTTAATCCTTTTTAATTTCGATCACGCTGGAGGTTTTTCAAATAGAATAAATATGTGTAGTTTAAATCACCATGCACTTATACAATGTAAACATCATATTTATTGTCATTCCTTATTCCACAATTCCGGCGAGGCAACAGAAATTTGTCTTAGAGACCTTATTACATTTTTTAACTTATCGTAACAAAGAGCAACAATGTAATTCTGAAAATCGTTCTTAGTGCCTTATTTGAGGACATAATGGGATATGATATTATTTTTTTATAATCTGTTATTCTACTACGAAAATCATCAAAGAAATCACAAACGCGTAAATCCCGATACGACTCGAACGCTTAAATACACTTTAAAAAATCGCATAACGCGAAAATCCGTGTAAATTATATTTAATTTTAGTTTGGTTCTATGTTGTCCTTTCAAACGAAAATCGAAAATAAAGTCAGTCACACACGCGAAAACCCGTTAACACTCACTCGCGAAAAAAACCCGAACCGAACCAAAAAACCCGTATGTGTCGAGTATTTACATAAATCTTTTCGAAACGTAGATAAATCGCATTTAATTGTTTTAAATAAAAAAATCTTCACTTGTTCATTAAGATTTGAGATAGTGAATATTTATTCATTCCTGAAAAAAAAGAAAATTGTTAAGATATTAATTTATAACAATTTCAATGATTTTAATGGATCTTTATATACACAATATCTACTCGGGTTAATCCTGATTACAGACAAATCTAAGCTAAAAATCCTCGTATTTTAAATATATTTTTGAAAAATAATTAAAGCTTTTAATATTTTCATTTAATTTATGTTGCTTAATAATTGAAATAAGAAGGAAAATATAGCAAACTCCTTATTTGAAATATTTAACAGAAATTGGCCCTGTCCTGTCCCTATCCCCCTTTGCAAGAATAATATAGAGCATACAAAACTTTTATAGTGACTGGCGAATTATCAGAGTTAATTTGGGTAGAGATTTTTTAAGTACTTCTATCGTTAAATTCAAAATTAATTAAAACAAATAAAAAAGCTGTAAGTTCGGCCGGACCAATGTTTGAATATCTCCACAATTCGGAACGATTTTGGCAATTTTCAAAAAAAAATAAAATCCGTAAAAAAAATCGGTTAAAATCTTGAAAATACCGATTGTAGCCGTTATATTAGGGTCTATATGACGACGTGGACCTGCATAGGCAACTTTTGTCATAAACCATTACAATACTCAAATTCGAAACTTGAATATTGGGGTTATACGAAGACGTGGACCAGCTCAGACAATTTTCTGTCATAGGCTGTAGTATCCATTACAAACGCTAAAATATGGAATATTGGGAAGTACCGTTATATGGGGACTATACGAAGACGTTGACCCGCACAGACAATTTTGTGTCTTAGGCTGTAGTATTCGATCTCAAACAACAAATTTAAAACAATTCCGGTGAATAATTTCGCTAAATTCATCCAAATGCCGAATATCGGGAGGTGCCGTTATATGGGGGCTATACGAAGACGTGGACCTGCTCAATTGTCTATCATAGAGTAATTTCCACAGACGGAGGACATTGCAAAATCGACATAGAATTTTATGCTGATCAAGAATATATATACTTTGTGGGGTCTAAAATGTATATTTCGAGGTGTTGCAAACGGAATGACAAACTTAATATATGGAGGGTGTATTAAGTTTGTCATTCCGTGGGTATAAAAAGAAATAAAATTATTGCCCTATTTTGATTCTATGATTTACACCATATTCAACATTAAACCGTTTTTTTCAATTCTTATTTAATAATATTATTGTTTAGGTTTGTTTTATATTTAGCATATCGATATATGGGCGCCATTCTAAACCCTAAATCTACATTGGACAACTTTTGCCATTAGATGTTGTCCCCAAAAAGATCTTAAAATATCAAATTACAAGGGACCATATTTAACATAGAAAACATTTTGTTGCCAAATGTCAAAGCAGTTCATAATATAATGAGACCTCTTTCTAGATTTCAACAGACATCCAGACATAGCTAAATCAATTTTATGGTGACCAAGAATACAAAGAAATGACAAATTTACAATACCCTCATCTTATGGTGAAAGGAATAAAAATTATAAAAAAAAGGGAGTATGAGGTAACAGAAATACAGAGTACTATATACAATTTGGAGATGAAAGTCAAACAGGAAACAAATATAAGAATTAGCGAACAGATTTGAACTGAATTCATATGAAACTCAAATTTTCTGTGCAAATATAAAATTCGTATTTAAAATTTCACAATTTCATTCTGGCATGTTATGTGAATATTATTAACAAGTAAGCAAAGGCTACTTGCCGATCTGAAAAAATGTTGGCAAGAATAAGAGTTCTCTAAGAAACATCTCCATATCTACTACATAATAAAAGCAAATATTGAACTTAATTGCTCCCATTTTCGAATAATTATCATAGACCTGGAACCAATATTTTAGAAAAACATACGATCTCTAAAGAAACTTCGATGCTTTACAAAGCAGATGTTCCTACTACATCAAATACCTAATTCGCTCTTGCGGAGAACAGAAATTACACATTCGTTATTCGTATTTTTTACACAAAATTGTTGTCAATTTTATCAGCAAAATATTATCCGATGACCAGTCAAAATTCTAGGCTTCAATGCTGTCTTTGACTCTAACCTTATAAAAAATTCCATATCTATTGGTCCTGAGTTGAGAACTGTGGGCGACAAAATCTAGACAGTTTTTATGTTTTTTGTCCATTTAAGAACCTAAATATTTGGCGAAACCCATCTGGCAACGCCATAACTTTTGACAGAGATGTCACATCGCTTAATGAGATACCGCGTTTGAAGCGTCAGTCCAAGCAGATTTTTACCATGAACCAATACACGCCACGCTAAATAGTTGACATTTACATTCAACAGAAGAAGTCATTGGTGAAAACTCAACGTGCTTTTAAAACATTAAAAAATATGAGAAGTGCGCCTTCTAAGAACACCATTAAGCGTTTATGCGAAAATTTTTCGACTGGTAAGGCTCTTTCTAATCCGAAGAGGCCATATAAAAGTCGACCAAGGCGATCGGCCGAGAATATCGCTGCCGTACGAGCCAGTGTTGAGAGGTCCCCAAGAACATCCCAAAAACGCCGTTCTCAGCAGTTGGGCATGGCTCGGTCCACTTTACAACGGATTATTCGCATTGATTTGCATTTGTTCCCGTACAAAATTCAATTGACGCAAAGAATGTTGCCTGCGGACAAGCCTCGTCGATTGGAATGGGCCCAAAGAGTCATGGGTCCGTCGAATATGGGCAACCCTGTATATATATTTTACCTATTTTGCTATATATCCGATGTATTGGCAATCGGCATCACTGTAACGGCCAGAAGTGACATTTTAATGTATTTGTGATTTCACAGGGATTAAAAATATTCGCGGTTTAGTGGAAATGTAAATATAAATTATGATCTATTTTACCCGCTAAATATTATCTGATGACCACCCAAATTGATAGTCTTCTACCCAGCCTTTAACTCTAACGTCATGCAAAATTTCACGTCGATTACAATTGCAAAATCACTTTTTTATTGGTATATTTTATTTTCGATTTTCTTAGATTTGATCGTTTTCTGGCAAAAGACCATTCCGAATTGATGGGAATTGTGAAAATCGGCCTAGCGGGTCTTGATTTATAAGCAGAATAAATAAGATCAATTCTTTCACATATATATTGTACCCATTTTGCTATATATCCGATTTCTTGGCTATTAGCTTCACTGTAATGGTCAGAAGTGATCTAGTGATTTGGCTGGGATTGAAAATATTCGCGGTTTAGTGGGCATTTTCCTATTATCTTACATAAAAGTTAGGGTCTATTTTACCCGCTAATTATTGTCAGATGGCCGCCCAAATTGGTAGGTTTCTGCCCACTCCTAAACTCTAACTCCATGTAAATGTTCCCGTCGATTGGTTTATAATTGTGGCCTATAGAGCAACTGCAAAATCAGGAAATTTTTCAGTTTTTGGTCCATTTCAACCCCCAAATATAGGGCGACCATCTCCATAAACAATAGGGTTCTATTCTGTTCATAACCCCACCATCTCCAAATCAATAGGCTTCTATTCTGACCCTTACTCCACCTCCATGCTGAATTTTGTGAGAATCGGGTCATAGTACTTATTACCAGTAGCGTGATTTACATGGACAGACGAACGGACGAACATACATAGCTAGATCGACTCAGTTCAGCGAGATAGGAAGATCTATACATACATTTTTATGTGCAGAGCAAATATTTCGAGGTTCGTTGGCCCAGTCAAACTTATAATACCCCCAAAATATAGTGTTGTGGAGTAAAAAGAGTTAAATTCAATATCAAATAGAAATACACAGCAAATGTAAAAAAGTTGTTCCAGCGTCCAATTACATAGACAAATGAAAATATAGACAACGAAATGCTCTCACCGTTTATCTTCGAAAAAAATCGAATCAGCAGATGTCGTCTATATCGTTTCAGGGGTTTGAGTGGGAATATTGAAGTCACTCAATTCAAAAACGTTAAAAATAATAAAAACTGTAGGATATTTGTCAGTTCAAAATTGTTCTATAATAAAAGAAATGTGAAAAGTACGTGATGATATCGAAAAATTCGGGAATAATAAAGTGAAATTCTTGAAAAACGATAAAATGTGTTTTCGAAGTCGAGTGGGTTGAACGCGTAAATCAGCATGTTGACTATGCAAAACATGATAAGAGCCACCTGGATAAAAAGACAAAACTAACTTTTGGTTGTCTTAATTTGTCTATGCTGTTTTTGTCGTTTCAGGTGTGTGTGTGTGTGTGTGTGTGTAAAAATATAGAAGTCATCCAAACCTTAAATGTTAAAAATATTAACAACAGTAAGAGATTTATGAAATTTAAATGGAGCGTTGAAATAGAAAAACTGCCTCCTACATTATGACATCGAAAAATATTCAATTTAACATCGAAATTATTGAAAATTCAATTAACTCGATTTCGAAGTCGAGTAAATTAACTATGCAAAAAACACACACACACACCTGACCGTGCGCAAACTGTTGTTGCGACATCTGTTAGCAACTGATATTGAAAGCTTTCGTCGTCTATATTTTCATTAGTCTATAGCTATGGTAACATTTCAGAATTGGAGAGTATAATCCAAAAATAACGAATGAAAACAATAAGTCTACAAAAAGGAAATGAGAGATGTGGGGAGAATAAAAAGCTCTTTGAAGCGGAAACGCTCATCTAGCAAAAGAGGAGATATGTATGTATTGAAGTGAAGCGTTTGTGGAACATTAGGCATTAAACATTATCTACAATTAACAACACCCATTTCAGCTCTTCACGACTATAAAATTATTAACTGCATATGTGCGCACACAACTTACCGACATTTTTAATTATGTGTAACAACACAGAAAGATGATGAAATTAATACAAATCTGGAAGGACCGAACGATAACTTTAGAAAAAAAAATATTTTAGGTATATTTTCTGCTTCTAGAATATAGATAGTTGATACAATAACTCAATTGATAAATAATCTCCCATCATCCCCTTTTTGAAGACAGAGAGTTTACGAGACGAGATATTGAGAGCAGGGCTAAGGAAGTCATTTCTTATTAGTAATCGGAACGATATAAATAAATAAAATAAAATAAAAAGGAAATATGTTCATAAAAGAAACAAGTAAGCAAAGGCTACAGTCGAGCGGGGCCGACCGT